TTTGTTCGCTGCAAATCACTTCGAAGGAACTTGAAGGTGATGTTTTTCGAAACGCTCTTCTACTTGGTGTTGTTGCACCTTTGCTGAATTGGCTGAAACGCTTTGGAGAGCACCCACGGATGTTGTCAGAAGCGAAGATTTTGTCACACCTTACAGGGCTTCAGTGACGCTCTACGCGTATAACTTGCAGTCCCAGGAGCGTTCCTGGTTGAAGCTTTCTTGGTGCTCCGTTTCGGTTCTTTCGCCGCAGGATGTGTTCGAGAGCCGAATCGAGCAGCTGGACTACTGGAGAGGCTGCGACACCGATGGCAACTGTCGGATCCAAAAGGCCAGAACAGACTTCGGTTCAGCACTGCTAGAAGACTGCCAGAACGCTACTAGGGGCGCTCCTGGCCTTACTACTAATAACAAGAAGCTACTAGGAACAAAGGGCATTGCTACTAGGAGCAAGGACGCTACTAGAAGCAGACCGCCAAGCGAAGCAGAATTACACAGGTGGAGGATGTGGCAAGTTTCTGGACTTGGATGCAGTGCCTGCCTCAGCCAACGAAGCTCAGAAGTCGCTTTGAATCTGTTAGTTGGCTTTTTAATATTTTTTTTGTTGGCGTTGAATGACGCTTCATTTTGCATCATTTTAGGACTGAACTGGTGCCACTGGCCTACACAGATGATGTAGATGCACCAAAGGTGGCACAGATAGAAACGGTGTTTCCGAGCCTGCGTTGCAATGATTCCGGATGCTTTCTTAAGTTTTGATTTGCGTCACAATGCAATCATGGAGCCTCCTCAATGGCATTCCTGCAGCTGAGGAACAGCAACTTCCCCCTCTACTGGAGCTCGGTTGGTGTTTGCGTTTCCAGTGTTGAATGACAATGTTTCTTCTCTTTGTAACTTGAGAAGAACACATAATTGTAAGAAGTGGCTCGGGCGATGCTGCCAAAAGTTTGTTATGGGAGTGTTATTCAACTTGACTTTGTTAATGTTATGTTCAAATTTTCAGCAAATTCAACAGCCTTTGCAGGAGCCCCAGATACCTCAGTGACACGCGCAGTACAGTCCTGCTGGGCTCGCTGAGAATGCGGCAGCTGCGCCTTGATGATTTTGGACTTCGTTGTTGGGCGAGGTTTTGCGGTGCCCGGCAGTGCCCCATACATTCTGGATAAGGGATACTGTCAGAGGCGGTAGGGCGGGTAGGCAGTGATGAGGTCCGGGGAGGAAGGCAGTAAAAAGTAAGGGTTAAGGGGAGTTGTAGTAGCTTGAGAAGCTAATAGATCCAGGATTCAGAAGGGCCCGGGATCTTATCCTTGAAGAATCCTTCGCATGTCTTATTGATTTTGTTCCTAGATGTTTACAGGAGATATCCGTTGGCTTTACAGCTTTCTTTGGCAACACATGTGTGTATATTCATGACATACGCGAACGCATTCCGCTGGCTTCATAGCCCCTCGTGGCATGCTTTCGTTGTAGGTTGCCTTTTGCAGTTTTTGCAAAAAGTGTCATTGAGTTTGGCCATCCCAGTTGTGGTACAAAAGCTGGTTAGGATCTATTTGCCGTTCGACCACATGCTACCAATGTGCTTTGTTTCAATTCTCTCGACTTGCAGACGTTGAACAAATTCCGAATAAAACCAAAGCAAACACATGGCACATGCAGATGCAAGCAATAAACATTCCCCAACAGGGGTCTTCATCCATAGTAAAGACATCGGAGCCAGCTCCGGAGCAAGTTCTGGAGCAGATTCCGAGCAAGTTCCAGCGCAAGTTCCGGAACCCGCTCCGGAACCTACTCCGGAAATTGTTCAGGATTCCGGAGCAGGTCCGGAGCAAGAGCGGGAACAGGTTCCGGAGCAAGTTACCGAGCAGGGTCTGGAGCTTCCGGAAGCTCCGGGAGGTTGCGAAACAGGTTCTCGAGCAAGTTCCGGAGCAAGTTCCAGAACAGGTGCCGGAGCAGGTTGTGGAGCATGTTTCGGAGGAGGTTGCAGAGCTTGGAGGCAGCTTTTCACAAACTCAGGAGCGCTTTGCAGATGTCATGAGATGCCGCTGTGAAAAGCCTGTTGTAACGCTGACCTGTTGACGCGCCGTAAGGCTACCATGTGGTTGTGCGAACCTGCGGACATGCTGTATATACTTCTGGCGCGCTAAGGTGGGTTGCCATGCTGATACGCTGATATGCTGCCATGTTGTCATGTTGGTGTGGTGTGTATTTAGAATGCTGTCAGTCATGTAGGCGTGTAGACATGCTGACATGATTCAATTGCTATGCTGATAGGCTAGCATGGTTTGTAGTGGAAACGATTCGGTAAGCATAAGCACGCTTTGCAAAAGGGAAGCTTGAGCACAGAGCATGGTATCCAGCTGGCAAGACTGCTAAAGAGCCCGTTTTGTCATTGTTTTTTCCTTGCACAAGCCTTTACAAAACTAGCAAACACCTCCATTTGTGGCATTTTTTTTGGAGGGTTTGAACTGCACCGAAACCGAAGCTCCAAAAATTACTTAAACCGCAAGGGTGAGTTGTTGCAAAACTTATATAATCCTGTTGTTCGATTTCGCTTTCCACAACGACTGACGACAACCAAGGACAACGGAAAAAAGAAATAGCAAGAAAAAACACCATCAACAACATCAACAACAATGCAACAATGCAACAATAACACAGCTTTTCGGGTTTTACAATTTTTCTTGTCACAAACATGTTGGCCTGTGTTTGTTACGTGTGTTTGGAGCACATATTTTTCATAGTGACATAGCGGCCGGGTCACAGAAAAGTGATTAAGTAGAGCATTGGGGGGTGTCGATTCCTGCAGAGATGTGTGCATTTGGTGGACATGCATCCTTTGCCGCACGAAAGACAACGGCCTTCAGTCTTGCATGCTTGGCAAGTAATCAGTAATCCCCTGCGCGTAGGATAGTTGGCTTGATTCAGCCTGCCCAGGCGTGTGCAGCCCAATGTGGGCTGCAGTGTCACCGCGCTTGTGCAGCACGTTTACCCAGCCTCTTAGCTTGATCCAAAGAAAGTCGGGGAAAGCCCCATGAGGATTCGGTGGCGTGTTCAGCTCGCACGTAGCTAACTTGCCCGAGGATTGTTATTCCACATATGATGTCAGCCGGCAAAGCCAGGCTTGAAACACAAGCAATTGCGCCAGTTCTCGTGCAGAAACTCATTGTGCCACTCAATCTGCGCAGGAACCTTATGATCCACGCTTTGCTCCTACATACCTCACGAAGGCCTGGCCGGAACCAGAGTGAAGCAGCAGAACTCATGAGATCTCTAGGAGAACCATTTTTTTGCAGCCCGCTTCCGCCTCCCTACTTAATGAAGTAGGCGCTTACTTAGTTAAGGAACTGAGTAGGTACAGGCCGGTCCTAGGTACGCAGGATATCTCACGCTTCTTCCAGGAAGCTCCCCCGCCGCCCTAATGGCAGCAGGGAAAGCTTCCTTGAAGAGCGCTCGCACTAATGATTCGGTTTCTGCGTTTTGAGGGAAACTTAAGCCATCGGCCCTTTTGAGGCCTATCGGTGGCAGCCTGTGGAAGAGACCCAGCAAGTAGCCCTTACAGGATCTGCTGGTTCTTATTCAGGCCCTGCTTGTGACCTTGCAGTTTGTTTGGTTTCAGCTTGAGTTGCATTCTCTTTTTTGCGATTGACAAGTGTCTAAATTGGAGGCTCAGGGTACTTCATTGATCTCCCGGCCAACAAGTCACACGCTTCTGGAATGCTTCGTGATCTGCATGTCTGGCGTTGGGTGGACAAGCTAACCCGTGCGCTGCTGGGCAGAATGGGGTTGGAAACATATTGCAGACACATGAACTTGGGTATCATTCCTTTTTCGACTTCGCCGACTTTGCTCTGCTTGGCTGTTGGCATCCACGAATGTCGTGCAAGCATGCCAACTGTGCTGAGGGTTACGATAGAGCTGACGACAATGAGTACCAACGTGAACGTCATAGCCGGAGCCTTAGCGAGAGCGTGCCTGAATTGTTTCCTGTAAACTGTGCTTTTTCATGAAACCAGTTTTCCAGCCTGTTGTCTCCAGGTGAACACAGCTTCACGGCTGCATGTAAGTGCAGGCGGTTGGTTTAGTCTTTTGCCTTATTACTTTTATTGTATTATCTTTTTAAACCACGGCTGCAACATTCAAAACGTACTGCAAAACATGGTAACCGCCTTCCTCATCCAAATGCACTTTTTTGGTGGCATCCTTGTTTCGCGGTTCAGACTCTTCATTTCATTTGTATATGGGGTGCAACATATATACCCCTCTACGCTGTTTTCCAACAAACTGCAGAAGCTCCAAAAATAGGTTTCAGAGCGCAAGAGCTCTCAACGTTGCCCATTGTCTACACAGAATGTTTGTTTGGGGGAATCAGGTTGCCAAGAGCTTCAAAGGCTCAAAGGACTCAAAAGAGAGTTATCAAGAACCAGGCCCACTAGATTGCAAGTAGATTTGGTAAAGCAAGGTAGGTGTATAAATTGATGTTAGATAAAAGAGAGTGGCATCCAAGAAGGAGGCCAAGGATGGGCTGACCACATAGGGTTGTAAATAAAGTGTTCTAACTTGTATACAAGTTACAAGTGTTGTTTGGGACACTTGTTGTTTGGGGCACGCGCGCCAAGCACAAGGGGACAAAGCTCAACATTATGTTGTCACAGAGAAAACGGAATGAGGCAAACGAAACATGTGCTGCATGCTTATCATATCTTGTCATTTAGGGAAGTTTCCGAGGGGAAACTTTCAAGTTGTGGACAACAATAAGCTACTAGGAGCAAAGGACATCGCTACTGGGAGCAAGGACGCTACTAGGGGCTCCTCCTGGCCTTACTACTAGGGGCTCCTGGCCGTACTACTAGTAACAAGAAGCCATTAGGGAGTCGGACGCAACTGTCATGGTGGGGGAGCAAGACGATGCACGAGGTGGGCTACGAATTTAGAGGGGACTGGAGCATGGATGGGAGGATGGTTGGGGGCACATTATCCCGGCAAGAGACCCCAAACAGTGTGTGTGAGGTTTGTAAGCAGAAAGTCTAGAGATCTAGACGCATTGGGGTCCAGAGAGGTGATGGTGGTGATGAAGTGAAGGTGTGTGAGTGAGTGTGGGTGAGAGGGAGTGTGAGTGTGAGTGAGAGTGAGAGTGAGAGTGAGTGTAAGTGAGCGTGAGTGAGAGTGAAGGTGGGTGTTAGTGAGAGAGAGTGAGAGTGAGAGTAAGAGTGAGTGTGAGTGTGAGTGAGCGCTGGAAGAGTGAGTGAGTGAGTGTGTGAGGGAGTGCGAGTGTGAGTGCGAGTGTGAGTGAGAGTGAGAGTGGGAGTGTGAGGGAGTGTGAGCGTGAGTGAAAGTGGGAGGGTGAGAGTGGGAGAGTGAGAGGGTGAGCACCTGAGAGCACAAAGTACTATGCCTGCCACGAAATTTGCACTTCGAGGTTCACCAAGCCCTGTGCCTGCCAATGAAATCTGCACTTCGAAGTTCGCCATGCGCTGTGCCTGCCACGAAATCTGCACTTCGAGGTTCACAAAGTGCTGTGCCTGCCACGAAATCTGCACTTTGAGGTTCACCAAGTGCTGTGCCTGTCACGAAATCTGCACTTCGAGGCTCACCAAGTGCTGCACCTGCCACGAAATCTGCACTTCGAGGTTCACCAAGTGCTGTGCCTGCCACGAAACCTGCGCTTCGAGGTTCACCAAGTGTTGTACCTGCCACGAAATCTGCACTTCTAGGTTCAGAAAGTGCTGTACCTGCCACGAAATCTGCACTTCAAGTGCTGTACCTATCACGAAATCTGCACTTCGAGGTTCACCGAGTGCTGTGGCTGCCACGAAGTCTGCACTTCGAGGTTCAGCAAGTGCTGCGCCTGCCACGAAATCTGCACTTCGAGGTTCACCAAGTGCGCCTGCCACAAAGTCTGCACTTTGAGGTTCAGCAAGTGCTGTGCCTGCCACGAAATCTGCGAGCGAGCCACATGTCCAAAAGTCACAATTCACTGCACCTGTCACGAAATCAGAGCTCTTCGACGATCACCACCATGGCCAAAGTGCTGCGCCTGCCACGAAAACTGCATTTCGACGATCCCTTGCACCTGTCACGAAAAGTCGACTTTGGAGCACCAAAGCACGAGGTTTCCCTTGCACCTGTCACGAAAAGTGATCACCATGTACCAAAATGCGCACGGCACCACAACGAGAGCGCAGTCGCCTGAAGCACCCGCTGCCGGCCCCCAGACTTTGCGAGCCTGCGCAGTCGAAGTGCACATGGACGATGTCGAGAGTCATGAATGTACTGTAAATAGCAGCGAATCAGCCGCGCACGCCCGTGCGCTTCAGCGATCTAAGCCCCCCTACCGTAAGAACCCCTCAGTGTGCCCACACTATTTGGGGAGAAAAAGGTGCCCATGTCCTACGAGGTTCGGGACAGGTTGCGTTGGAGCACAGTGTTTGTGGTTTGCGAGTTTGCCACTTGCAGTCAGCTGGTCCTTCTGGCTTTAGGTTCTAGGTCAGTCAAATTCTTCCTGCCTCAGTCATCTCTTTTCTGTGTATTGAAATCTTGAAGGACACGTAGAAGTGAGAAAGAAAGGAGTGAGCCAGCTAGAAAGAAATTTGGACCTAGGAGATCGGGCTGGAGGGATGCACTGGAGAGAGCAAAGAACATTACGCATGGGAAGCGTCCGTATGATAGACAAAAGACAGCTTAGGTTCAGAGAAACAAAAAATATGGCACAACCAATTCATATGTAGCAAAGATATTTGCCAGTTCTTTTTTTTTCACAACCGCTTGAAAAAATCCAATATTGCTAGACACAGCACACATGGCATGAAGGGTTATTTGACAATAGAGCTTGGTCCTTGATTGGTCATACTTACGTTTGATCATCCAAAAGTGTATTTTCTTGTGCATCACCACAGACCCATTTGGATCAAACACTATGCAAATCTCTCGAACCAAGGTCATATTGTTCGAATTTACTCCCAATGGAGCAGTGACTGGAACTGCCAGGTTCCTAAACTGTTTGTTTTCCAAAAGACAGTTTCTGAGAAGCAGGGGGTTTGCGGTTTGGAGTTGGATCCAGTCTTTTCTGAGGTGTCTAGCACAGCAATGCGGACCTTTTTCTTCACACCTTCAGTGCAGGGCTCCAACTTGTTTGCCTTCATTCTTCTCATTTGGTCTTGAGCTTGGTGAATTCAAAGCTTCAAATGATAAACCCTTTTTCTGTGTTGCACTTTCTGACTCTTGAGGTTGTCACTGATGTTTTTCATTTTCACGCTCTATTCATTATGGCTCATGTACAAGAGCCTTGTCTGGGTGATACTTGTGTAGTACCCTCTTATTTTGTGCGCTGGACTCACTGTTTTTCGAGGTTTTAAGATCCCATTGGAAAACTCTGGAAGCAGTAAGGCTTTCTTCGTACCTCAGACTTGCTTTTCTAAAGAATCTGCGAAGACCAGACACGCCTCCAACCCAATAGCGATGGCCTCCAACCGATTAGCGATGGCCTCCAACCGAAACACGATCAGGTTCTGCTTGAGTCGCTTTTCAGGACATGCTTTAATTACTTGGGACAGAACCCGCTGGGGTACTTGAAGCGGTCTGGCTGGACTGTCCCTTGTCCCAGATTGCGTCTACATCTAGGACGCCTGAACCAGTTTCACAAACAGTCTTGCAGAATCTTGCAGACCTGAATTTTGCACCACGGTTTTGTTCGGCTTTGGATACTTGACATTTTTTGAGGCTAGACTACTGTTCCCCTTCCGAACTTTGTACCAATTCTTCCGCTATGGATGGAACTTTGCAGACATGGTCAGAAGCCCGGAATGCGACATGTCTGCTTTCTTCTGATGTCGGTTGACCAACACTGTAAAGACCCCTCATTCGTCGTGTACCCAAGACAATCACTCTTGTCACAAGAAACTTGGCTTGCGTGTGGTAACGGGAGAGCAGAAGATGACTTCAGAATGCATCTTGTATAATTGTGGGATCCAGCTTGCTGCACAAAGGGTAAGTGTCATCGAATAGGTACTGTGCGCAGTTGCATAGCAACAACTTGGAAGGAATGACTTGAACTGCTAATTGGCAGCTAAACAGCTATCAACATGACACATTGGATGCACCTGTGACTTTGTAGCCTCAGGTCATTCTGGGCTCATTTTATGTGCATTTAGGCAGCTTGCCAGCAAGATAGAAATGGGGCTTTGCGACCAGGCTTGACTTCGCCAAAAGGAAATCTATTTGCCAGTGTCTGGCACTTGCGAGACCAAACAGTGTGTGGGTGGGTTTTTCGGTCCCAATCTGCAGACCTCGAAATCAATGAAATTTGGAGAACTGCAGATTCTGTGATCATTTGCAGTGTGACATTCACTGTGATCATTAACTCTGAGGATTCCGTATTTCTGCATATGTGGCTGTTGGCAACAATCCTGCCTTGCAGCCTGATGTTGTTGGTCATCCTGAAGTTTTTATGTGCCTTGTCCTAATCTCCAAAGCCCAGAGTCTTTCAAATTATAGAAGAGGTATTAAAAAAGTTACAATTTGTCAAATTGGTCAAGTTCATTCTCCTCTTCTGTCTCAGGCCATTCGGACAGCTCATGGAGCCTTTGGTCTTAGGCCTCCGCCCCCAGCGTGCCTTTGGATCCATCGCGTCGGACCAAATGTCATGCTCCAAGGCAACAACCTTTTGGCTCTGCTGTCAATCACCTGTTGGGTGAAGCTGTGCTGCTCCAAGCTGTTTGAGCATGAATAGCTGCATGCAAAACTATGCTGTGCTTGGCTGTCAGCAACATTGCTTCGTTTTGCTGTTGATCCAAGGTTCAAGTATCTTTGCATGAGCAGCTATTTCCGGCTATTGGTGAGAATATTGGAGTCTTGTGCTGCCAGGCCGTTGTGCTCTGTCCATGCATCTTCACCAGAGCAAAACGTGCGTTGGGCAATGGAGTGAGCGAAAAAGAACTTCATGGAAAGAACGTTGGGCAACGCAAAGCAGGCTCATCATTTTTGCAGCCCTCCTGCTAGTTGTCTTCTTCGGCTTTGCTGTGGCCTTTTCGCCACTTAGACTCAGTGCAGAAAATCTTGAAGGTGAGTGCCAATTGTGTCCTGAGATTTTGACATGATTGTTCCCTCAGTTTGTAAGAAGATTGTGCAAGGTTGAAGTAGCAACCAACAAAGCACCCCCTCGGTCCTCTCCTTCCTCTCCTTGAGGATTGGCCTTGGCACAACGGATAGAAACTTTGTGACGATCCCTGGGTCCTTCCTTGTGCTTACCCGAGTGTGACAGCTTGATCAACAAGAGGCTAAACGGCTAAAGGATTTGAACTCCTTTATCAAGAACATTGTTTTTCTAAGGTCCTCTTCTTTCTGCTGATCGATGGCTACTCCATTGATATCGAATGGTTTCGACCTGGCAAGGAAAGGCTGTGCCGGGAGGGGCTGTGGAAAAACTTTGTCTTCCGGGTCAGCCCGGAGTGGAAAAGGAAGGAAAAGGGGCCAAAAGAGGTTCAACAGCTTCTTGGGGAGGCTAAGATGGAAGAAGGTTGGACAGGGAGGGGTAGAGAAGAGGAAGACTGGCAGAGTCGGGGTGCAGAACTTGGAAAACTAGGGTCAAGAAGCAACCAGCTACTAGATGCTGAGAGCTATAGAACTATCTAGAACTATAGACTACAGATGACTAGATGCCAAGAACTAGCTAAAAAGAAGCCGCTTAGTCAGAATGTAGTAGGGCTGCTAGGGCGTGGACCCGCTGCTGGGGCGGCTTGGGTTCAAGGTGCTTCAAGAAAGCTTCCTGTGCCTGAGTGGCGAAGCTTTCTTGAAGAACCTTTTGCATGAAGAACCTTTCTCCTATGAACAACAAAACAAGAACACATACTATAACAACTTTTTGACTTTGTTTCTTCGTTCGTTTCCTTATTCCTTTCTTTGTTCCTGTTCCTTTTGGATATCTAGTTTAAGAACTTGAATTGTCTATGTTTTTCTTGTGAGTGTTTTTGAGCATGCTTTAGCTTGGGTGCCTGCCCACGTTTTGTTGCAGGATCAGCTTGTCACCTTGATTTTCCTTGGGTACATCGTGGGTTGCTGAGTTCCAAAGCAGAGGCTAAGCAAGAAAAACAAAAAGGCTACTGGCCATGATAATCAATGTCTTTATACGTCGTGTGGTGCCAAGGCCTTGATTTACTTTGTCCTTCTGAACATCTTCGTTGCGATCGTTCTGGACACCTTTTCTTTGGCCTCGCGACTCTATGCGGTGGAGGCCAACAAGCAGAATCCAATGATTGCCGCACGGCATCCACTTGCTTCAGACTTCCTGGTCTTTGGGCTCATCTCTCAATCCGAGGTCTTTCTACGGACATATTGGAACTGGATGAAGGGCCAGTCTTTAGTCAAAGATGAATCAGAGGAGCACATGAACCCGAAGGCTCGCAGCGCGGCTCGCAGCTCCTTTTGATCTGATGGACAATCAAGAATCCGACCAACCTTTAGCGCGAGTTTCGCGGCAATCTATTCAAACTGCAGATCTGTACCTGACCAGAGAGCCAAGAAAAACTATCGAACATCCTAGGCCAAGAAACATATGTATGTCCATTTAACAAGACCGAGTGTCCGAGTCTCCCGGCTGACGTGCAGGATCTTTCTATCACATTGGACCTCTTGCCGGGCCTTGTGCGGCGGAAGTGGGTGGAGAAGAAGAGAAGGAATGTTGGTTCTTCATTGTGTCGTAAAGTGTTTGCATGTGATTGCGTTGCTGTTGTCAAGTTAAAAATCAGTCCCTAGCCTTTTGGGTCCCAGTTTGTTCGCCCTTGATTCTGTAGGTTGAGTGTCTGATTGAGGATGCAGCGGGTGGCAGATGAGAACTTTGCCGGAATGGATCTTTTTCCTGAGGCAGCGGGACAGTGATGCTGCTTTTCTATTTTGTCATATTGCATCATATTGCTTTTGCTGGAAACTAGCAGTGCAATATATAATCAATCTGGCTTCCAGCAACGTAGTGACGGCAATGCGCACCCTGAAGGATGTAGATCGGTCACTATCCAAGAAAAGGGCAGAACAAATGCTCACAGCAGCTTGCCAGCAATTTTTGGTGGCATTGTTGCGTAGAACGTCTGGGAGTCCAGATGTCGACGACAAATAGGGTGAGTGGCAAGGTTTTGCAAGACTGCTATTTTGCTCCCATCCAGTTCAATCTTTGGATCAAGGGAGGCTCTTTCTATCCATCCATCCATCCATCCATCCATCGATCGATCGATCGATCTATCTATCTATCTATCTATCTCGTTCGTTCTTTGGACTTCAGGGCTGGCCAAACCATGTTCAATCGAATTCAAGCTTGTTTAAGCATTCTTGATGCAGGAATGCTGTGTCCCGTGCCTGTGCTGCTTAAGGATTGGATGCTTCCTAGCACTCAGACCGATGTCTTTGATCAGATGACTGCGCCACTGGAGCACAAGTGCCATGGATGCAAAGTGGGTTGCGCCTCAGAACCTAGATGCTGAACAATAGACTCTCCATACAGACAAGGAAAAAAGAAAAGAAAAAGGAAACATACAAGAAAGGAACGCACGTATATACAAAGCATGTTTTGAACATCCACGGCTAGGCTTCGGGTCCGCCCACACCAAGACCCTGATAATTCCATATAGATACTTGAGGTTTGTGAGATGAAATTCAAAAAGGGATAATGCCTGGATTGAAGAACCCAAATCCAATCCGTGGTCGCAGCTGTTTTGTTCAGCAAGTGCACTTCATTCACTGAGTATTGCCCATTCGTAGCGGTTCAAGGCCCTTGGCGCTCTATGAAATCCCTGATACAGTGATGAATCAGGCCTAGGGCCCGTCGATGAAGAGCTGAGCAGTGTGCAAGATGTTGAAGGCTTGAACCTTCCACAATTCAGCGCTTGTATAGGGCATGGCTGCCATGCATAAGCCGGGGTGCCTTAAGTCGAATTGTGTTGGGGTATTTGTTTGGCACGAGATCAGGAGTGCGCGAGCTTATAACTTAAGCAAAAAACACATTCAATCACCACCCCCTTAGGCACAGGGGGGACCATTTTATTCCCCACATTGACGTGTGGGGTTTTTGTTTTTTAGTCTGGTATCCGCTCCTCCCTCCCTCCTCCTCGCTCCGCACCTCCACCACTTGTCACTCACCAACCAATTGTCACCAACCCATTGCAACCCACCAATTGTCATCAACCAATTGCTACCCACCAATTGTCATCAACCAATTCAACAACCAATTGTTCAAGAACCAACCAATTGTCACCAACCAATTGTCGTCAACCAGTTGTCATCAACCAATTGCCACCCACCAAAACAGACTGCCACCAACCAATTGCCACCAATCCATTGCCACCAGGAAGTTGCCACCAACCAATTGCCACCAACAAACTTCCACCTACATTCTGCCACCAACCAATTGTCACCCACCAACCACCAATTGTCCGCTCCTGTGTCTGGTGCAGTTGTGAACATGTGGGGTTATCCGGTCTCCTGTAGTTGTAACTTCTTTTTTTGGGGGTTTGCGGGGGGGGTTGCTGGACATGGCTAAAACAGATAGCAAGGGCATGGAAGGTTGCTTCATTTGTCTATTCAAAAGCTTCAGCGCTACGTTATGACCACAAAAGACATGCGCTGACTGGAGATCCCTGGGCAAAGCTGGGGGAAACACTGACAGAGGAGACAGACAAACAAAGGGACGGAGGGGGGTGGTGGAAACATGTAACTTGCATTTATTGAAGTCCAGGTCCCCCTGTGAATATGGATTATATAAATAAATATAACTTGGACAGATTGGATGTGAGAAGGGCATACCTATATTAATCTTAAGAAGGGCATACCTATTTTCTTTAAAGAGAACATGTAGTCTGGAACCTGGGATAAGCCGAAATTGATAGTACTACTTCAAAAAGAAAAGTCAGCTGGGAACCTGGGATTGGGGAGAGCACCAGCAAATCTAGAGAAACAATAGCTAGAAAGAAGATAAGCCTTAAGAAGGACATACCTGCTGTAAAGAGAAACCGTAAGCTGTGCCAAAATTAGGGAGAGCACCCAAATCTAGAGAAACAACAGCTAGAAAGAAGATAAACTTTAAGAAGGACATGCCTACTTTAAAGAGATATATAATGTAAGCTGGGAACCTGGGATAAGCCAAAATTGGGGAGAGCACCAGCAAATCTGGAAAAAGCACAAAGAAGATAAACTTTAAGCAGGACATACCTACTTCAAAGAGCAAATGTAAGCTGGGAACCTGGGATAAGCGAACATTGGGGAGAGCACCAGCAAATCTAGAAAAACCACAGCTAGCAGCTAGAAGGAAGATACACCTTAAGAAGGACATACTTGCTTAAAAAAAGGAAAAGTCAGCTGGGGCTGGGAACCTAGGATTGGGATGTTTGTTTAGGCCATTTCAGGCATGTTGGTACCTGGAAAATGTAATTTTACATCTTCTGGGTCTTGCCTGGAAAATGTAATCAAACCTATGGAAAATGCAAGTTACAATGAAAAGGTCCCCCTCATGGGGTGGGATAGAATCTACAATAATTTACAGAGTTGTCGCTTACATTGACATCCAAGAATGATCGAAGGAGATCAGTCGCGCGCAGCTGCAACGCTTGATGGACGAAGCTGGATGCCCCGGTAAACCTCTACTTACAGTAGTTTTGAAACATTGGCCACTGTTGGTTTCTTCGGCGCTTGAGGATTCCACTATTCCTCTCCTTCTCGGTAGCAAGAGGGCTGTTGATGTCATTCGCAAGTTCAAGAGTGTGGAGAAGGAGGACATGTGAACATTTGCTTTACAAGTGCAGTGCTCGAGCGAATATTTTTGCAGCAAAGGTGGTTTTGCAAATTGGTAAGTTTGGTTGTCACATGCTAAGCTGTTGCTATTTTGATTGGCTGCGCGGGGCAGCAGAGGGCAAAGTGTCAGGAGAGTGGCCAGCCCATCAGCGCAGTCAAGGCTATGCAGGACTGCAAGGGATCACGCATGAGGATTCTTCAGATTCACATGAGATGAGATTAGACATAGATGTTGGAAACACCCTCGACTTTGGTGAAGTTGTGCACTTTGAAAGGGGACCATATTTGGCCGAATTGACAAACTCGAGCCGTGCACTTGGTTTCATAATGTGGTCAAACTGTTGTGTGGATAAGAAAGCATGCGCTGAGGCGAGTCAAGTTGGATGATGACGTCCCCGAGGCTCTTTTGGCTTCTCTTTTCACCAGCGCAGACGGTGCAAGGTAGACAAACTTGTCAAGTGAGATGTCAAGCACAGAATTCACCATTGCTATTCCTTGGAGTGACCTTTTCAGAGCACGGTCCGAAGTCAAGCCACCAAGCACTTCGATGTAGATTGAAGCTCTGCTTCATAGAACTATAGCTATCATCAACCAGAGTCTTTTTGGCACATGTCATGCCTTGACTTCTCCACGGGACTTTTTGATCATGATGAAGATAAACTGCCAAACAAGAGCTTCTCAAACACTCTTCATTGTCCATATTATCGTTTCTTTCCAGGAGGATACAAAACGGGTTGTAGGCAACCATTCGCCTGTTTCAAGTTGCAACTCAGAAGAGATGCGAGAAATGTGGGGATCTTTGCAACCTTGTTTACCCACCTTTTTCATCCTCCGACAAATTCTTCGTCCGTGACTTTGCCAAGCCTTGATCAGCTTTCTCAGAATCTGGTTGACAGTGTTTAAGCTTTCTTGCCAAGTTTGAGTTTAAGGTGCCTGAAATGACTCAAATTGCGGAGCAGATGAGTGGTGCCATTCTGGACCTCAGGCCACTTCTCGCAGCTTCACGACACTTTTCGTGTCTTTTCTCACTCCCAATCGGTTTGACACGGCCGACAGGAATCAGTTCCGAGTGCAGCTCACTGGTGTGATAGAATGCACCGCGGTCCTCTTTGAACATTTGGTGGAGTTGACTCAGGGCCTGGACGAGGCTTCTTGGAAGATTTGTAGTTATTTTCTTTGCTCCTTAGGTTGGAGGCCATTGCTACTAGGGTGGAGGCCATCGCAAGTAGGTTGGAGGCCGTTGCTATTAGATGCGATTAGGTTGATATCTTAATTATGCTTTTGTTGAAAACTCTCTAGGTTTCACTGTGAAGGTGTGCAGGTTACGTTGAATCCTACGCATCCAACGCTGCGCAGGTCCGACAGAACAGCGATGGTGTGATACGCTTGGTCCGAAGCAATCAGATTGGGGACAGCGGCTACGGTCTTTGATGCCATGCAGCGAATTCAAGTCTCACCCTACCAATTGGTTGGGGCATCTTTGGCTCAGGCTGAGGACAAGATATATCAAGATGTTCCTGGATTGAACGTTTGAACTATTTGCATGTAACAATTTCAGATTTCATCGAGCAGGTGTCAAGCGCCTTCTCGTAGATGTTCATAGGCTTGTGCTGGGCACACGTGGCACCAGAATGTGAAGCAGACGTATCAAGTTATGTCTTAGTGGCCAGCATGTGTCTCACTGCTCTCTGCACGAAGCTGCACACGGAGAACCATGATTGGAAGAGCCTGATGATGAAACGCTTCATTGAAGAGAGGAGTCTCACGAGTTTTGACCGAGTGACGGTCGTCCGTTCCGACGGTAATTGCCGATCCTGAGGAGGGCAATGCTTGATGGAGCGAACAAAACAAGTGAATGCGCATGGCTTTCATTCCCCCAAGCGGCACTCCTTTTGTCATGGAGTGATGAACCCCCTTGTGGCACCATCCCCACAAGTTTGACAGGTACGAGCTTTGAGTGAAGTTTATTTGATCGGAGTCACCTGGAAGTCTTCGTCAGAGAAGAAAGTAGCGTCCTTGCTCCTAGTAGCGATGCCAGGAGCCCCTAGTAGCGTCCTTGCTCCTAGTAGGGATGCCAGGAGCCCCTAGTAGCGTCCTTGCTCCTAGTAGCGATGCCAGGAGCCCCTAGTAGCGTCCTTGCTCCTAGTAGGGATGCCAGGAGCCCCTAGTAGCGTCCTTGCTCCTAGTAGCGATGCCAGGAGCCCCTAGTAGCGTCCTTGCTCCTAGTAGCGATGCCAGGAGCCCCTAGTAGCGTCCTTGCTCCTAGTAGCATAGACCAGGAAACTCCAAAGGACCAGGAACATCGACCGTCCCGTGACCGACCATCCCGCCGCCTTTTCGGCCAGGCGGCGGCCGCGCGGCAGCGCTGCGCCTCGCGCACTGAGCAGCTGGCCGCGTCGCTGCGGGCGAGGCTCACGGAGCTTGAGGTGTGCCGGGCCTCGTCGACCGTCGATGAACTGGGCCAATCCCCGAAGACCTGAAGATGACGGCCAAACGCACTGATTGATTCAGGACTCACATTCGACGTCGTTGGGTTTTCCCTTATGAATTGATTCTGAAACAGCTGTTCTT